GTGGCACCATCATAGCTCTCTGTAGCATTAAACTCCTGGGCACAAGCATTCCTCCCACTTCAGCCTCCCAAGTGCCTGGGACTACAGGCATGTGCCTCCACTCACAGATAATTAAAAAAAAAAATTGTTTTGGTAGAAACAGGGTCTCATGGCTCGGAGCCTGTGCCTCAAGTGGCTAAGGCACCAGCCACATACACCCAGGGTGGCGGGTTCGAATCCAGTCTGGGCCCGCCAAACAATGACGGCTGCAACCAAAAAATAGCCGGGCGTTGTGGTGGGCACCTGTGGTCCCAGCTACTTGGGAGGCTAAGGCAGGACTTGCTTGAGCCCAGGAGTTGGAGGTTGCTGTGAGCTGTGATGCCACAGCACTCTACCCAGGGGGACATCCTGAGGCTCCTGTCTCAAAAAAAAAGAAAAAAAGAAACAGGGTCTCACTGTGTTGCATAGGCTGGTTTCAAACTCCTGGCTTCAAGTGGTTCTCCCAGCTCGGCCTCTCAAAGTACTGGAATTACAGGCATGAGGCACTGCACCCAGCTTGAGGCTTTTTAAAAAAAGACAGAGAATGGGCTCTTGCTATATTGTCCATTCACTGGTACAATCATGGTGCACCACCGACTTGAATTCCTGGCCCCAAGTGATCCTCCTACTTTGGCATCCTGAGTAGGTGGGGCTATAGGTACATGCCCGTGTTCCTAGCTGAGTTTTGTTTTTCTTTATTTTAGGTCTTGGTATGGTGACTCCTGTGAATGACCTTAGAGGATCTGATTCAATTGCATATGACAAAGGGGAGAAGTTATTGCGGTGTAAATTGGCAGCATTTTATAGACTGGCAGATCTCTTTGGGTGGTCTCAGCTTATCTACAATCATATCACAGTGAGTATTAAATGGTAACTGAATGACATGAAATGTCATGTGTCTGGCTCTGCCTCTTTCCATTTAGCAAGCTGAGCTTCAGTAAATCTTGGAAAATCTCTTGTGGTTCCTGACTGCAAAGCATAATAATCTGAGAATTAGCCAGTCTGGGTTAAAAGTTATAAAAACATTAGTTCTTTAAAGCTTTTTTTTTCTTACATGCTAAGTTAGTAAATGAGTGTTCATTATAGGCCGTTTTCCTAAAATTCTTTTATGCTTAAAACCTAAGAATGAAGATATTTTCCACCTTCTTTGACTACTTGTTTGCCATGGGTCCACTTCCAAGAACTTTTCATGTTTGAGCCTGACCGTGACATGCTTGTGTGTGCTCAGCCCTGTCTTGCTGTGTAGAAAGTAAATATTAATAGTGTCCATGCAACAAAAAAGTGCTAACAGGTCATTCTGTCCTTTCTTTGAAAGAGGGTCATAGAGATTTTCTGCTAAAGGGATTTAAAAGTGCTAACAGGTATTAGAGTATTGAAGATGATTGTCTGAATTAGATCTTTAAGATTGCTTTGGATTCAGAGAAGCCTTTGTAGGGATGGGCATAAGACTGAGTGGCCCAGTTAGCACAATGGGCAGGGCCTCCTCTCCTGGTGGTGCATGGCTGATTGCTGGACCTTTCCATCCTGATGTCAGTGGATGTCCATGCCCAACACCTGCAGAACCTGGCAGGTGCTTACTTCTCCATTTTGGACTCCAGAGAGTGCCAACCCCCTGGAGGTTACACTTGTGACCCATGTGCTATATTCAGGGAATTGATAATGATTTCTGCTAGAGGTCTCAATGAGTGACCTAAAGATCTGTCACAGGGAAGTCTCATTCCTTGGACAGGGTTGTGTGGGAAGAGACTCTAGGAGAACAGTGACGGCTGTGGAGAGGCTCCACTGCTGATGAAACCACTTTGAAATGTCCTCCTCCTTTTTTGCTTGATGTCCACACTTTTGAACTTTCTCCCTTTTGCTTCAGATTCAGAGAATTTTAATATTTTAAGCTTTTTAAATTAAAATGTGAAGATCTGTTAAGTTCACAGTTGAAATATCTTTTAAGGAAATAAGTCAAAGAAGAAAACATGGGTGGCGCCTGTGGCTCAGTGAATAGGGCGCTGGCCCCATATAATGAGGGTGCCAGGTTCGAACCTGGCCCCAGCCAAACTGCAGTTAAAAAAAAAAAAATAGGCTCAGTGCCTGTGGCTCAAGTGGCTAAGACGCCGGCCACATACACCTAAGGTGGCGTGTTCGAATCCAACCTGGGCCTGCCAAACAACAATGATGGCTGCAACCAAAAATAATAGCTAGGCACTGTGGCGGGCCCCTGTGGTCCCACCTACTTGGGAGGCGGAGGCAGGAGACTCACTTGAGCCCAGGAGTTGGAGGTTGCTGTGAGCTGTGATGCCACGGCACTCTACCCAGGGGGACAGCTTGAGGCTCTGTCTCAAAAAAAAAAAAAAAAAAAAAAATATTGTGGCAGGTGCCTGTAGTCCCAGCTACTTGAGAGGCTGAGGCAAGAGAATCACCTAAGCCCAAGAGCTGGAAGTTGCTGTGAGCTTATCACGCCATGGCACTCTACCAAGGGTGACAAAGTGAGACTCTGTCTCTTAAAAAAAAAAAAAAAGAAAAAGAAAAAACATGTGAGAATGTATTAGTCATAGCATTATTTATAATGCAATATTTTAAGAGTCTAAATATCTAGCAGTAGGTGGGAAACAGCTTATTGAACATTTATTTGAAGGAATATTGTATAGTATGAAAAATAATTATCATGACCATGTAAAACATTGTGAAAATTGGGGGCCAAAAAACATGAATTAAAATACTAATTAAAAATAAATGAAATACTGGCTTGGCACCTGTAGCACAGTGGTTATGGCGCCAGCCACATGCACTGAGGCTGGTGGATTCAAACCCAGCCTGGGCTAGCTAAACAGCAATGATAGCTGCAACAAAAAATAGCTGGGCATTGTGGCAGGCAGTCCCAGCTGCTTGTGAGGCTGAGTAATTCTAGTAGTTTGAGAGGCCAAGCTGGGAGAACCACTTGAAGCCAAGAGTTTGAGACCAGCCTAGGCAACATAGTGAGACCCTGTTTCTACCAAAACAGCTTAAGAGAATCACTTAAGCCCAAGAGTTTGAGGGTCCTGTGAGCTGTGACGCCAGGACACTCTACCGAGGGTGACATAGTGAGACTCTGTCTAAAAAAAAAATTAAATTAAAAAAATACTAAAAAAAGAAAAAGAGATTTTTAAAGGAACCAAAAAAAAAAAGAAAATGCTAATGAAAATAACTAAATAGACTGGGCATGGTGGCTCATGCTTGTAATCCTAGCACTTTGGGAGGCTGAGGCAGGTGGATTGCTGGAGTTTACGAGTTTAAGACCAGCCAGAGCCAGAGTGAGATCCTGTTTCTACTAAACATAGAAAAACTGAGGCAAGAGAATCACTTAAGCCCAAGAGTTGGAGGTTGCTGTGAGCTATGATAACGCAGCACTCTACCCAGGGTGATACCTTGAGATTCTGTCTCTAAAAAAAGAAAATAACAAAATAAAAATACTACTTAAAATAAACTTAGTATTAGAAATGAGAAAATATACCATTCAATAAAAAAAAAAAAAAAGAAATGAGAAAATATGAAATGTATCCTTTTTTTTTCTAAGGAGACAGGGTCTCCCTACTGCCAGACTGGAGAACAGCTCACTGTAGCTGCAAACTCCAGGGCTCAAGTGATCCTTCTTCCTCAGCCTCCCAAGCAGCCGGGACTATTAGTGTACAGGCCCACCTAATTTTTAAATGTTTTATTTTTAAAGAGATGGTGTCTCACTGTGTACCCAGGCTGATCTCGATCTGGCCTCAAGCAGTCCCTTTGATCTAGGCCTCTCAAGGCACTGGGATTATAGGTGTGAACCAAGCCTGGCCTGAAATGTGTAATATTTGTAGCTATATGAAACATATTATATAATGAAAAAAGAAGTGATTGAATAAACATGGCTATATAATTTGTTTTTAATATGGAATCCAACAACAATGCATCTAAAATTTATGTTGAAGAGCAAAAGGCTAAGAATAGATGAGACAATCCTGAAGAACGAAGCAAGGAGATTTTTCCTATCAAATATGAAATTTAATATAAAGTGATGGTAATTAACGTAATATGCTTTGGGCAAAGGAAGAGACAAAGACAAATAGACCAGTGGACAGAATATGAAGCTTAAGATCAGGTCTGCAGAGCGTTGGCCTTGCACATCAGCAGAGGAGGGGCAGTTAGGCAGCAGTTGGTGCTGGAACACTTAGACTGAAAAGTCACATTTTAGGGCGGACATGGTAACTCATGCTTGTAATTGCAGCACTCTGGGAGGCCCAGGGAGGTAGATTGCTTAAGCTCAGGAGTTTGAGACCAGAGTGAGACCCTGACTCTACTGAAAATAGAAAAGCTATCCAAGTGTGGTGGCAGGTGCCTTGTCATCCCAGCTTCTTGGGAAGTAAAGGCAAGAGGATTGCTTGAGCTCAAGAAATTGAGGTTATTGTTAGCTGTGATGCCACAGCATTCTACCCAGGGTGACATTCTGTCTCAAAAAAAAGATGATTGTAGAGGCACAGAATTGTCATATAGTATATGGCAGGGCTGTATGTTTAATTGAGCCTTCATAAAACATGGTGGCCCT